TTTTTGCTGTTAGTAGCATCTTAATTTTTAGAATTTCATAGGAAGCTATACCGAATTTCATCGACAAATTTCAAATTTCGTCTAAAAATATGTAATCGTTCAAGAGTTATAACTTTTTGAATTTTTGCCACATGTGGAAACAATTTTTTCGAAATTTCAAAACATCATAACTCTTGAACGGTTGCACATTTTTAGACGAAATTTAAAATCTATCGATGAAATTCGGTATAGCTTCCTATGAATTCTAAAATCCAAAATAATACTAACAGTAAAAAATCCTAGGAGGGGAGATCAGGAAAATGCTAATTTTTTTCGCAAACTCCGAGTGCAATTTTTTTTGATAAAATTCCATCATTAGGGTCCCATGCTCAAAAGTCAAGATTCAGCATACTGAAAAATCCTGGATACGTCACTGCATTCGAGAAAGACTTACTTCTCACCATATAATCATATTTTGTAAAACTCGGCTATTTCTTTTTTTTTACATAAACCTTCCGAAGTCGAAAATCACCGTAGTTTTATCATGCTTTAGACATCTCTACCAGTATTCTATACATATATGCCTAGACTAATGCATCCGTCTATAGTTACCTTAACATCATTAATAACAGTTCATTATCAATGAACTCATAAAGTGAGATAGTTTCTGTTTATATGATCGATACTAGATCTGTACTGAGTCTACTTACGAAATTATCTTTTTATCAAATGACAGATGATCGACATATTATTAATTTTTATCAAATTGTTTCTATGTATCTGTCATTTTGTTTCGTTTTTTAGCATATCATTTGCTTCTTTACTTATCGATTTATGTGGTTTAGAGAACGAGGCTAATATCAGCATCTTCATTCGAATTCAATTCAGCTTTGATCTCGATTTTGAATATCCACAATAATTTATTAGTGAATTTTGATTGAATAGATAAAATCAAAAGCTATTAGTGACGAAGAAATAAACATATTGTTCATAAAGAATATTAGATTAAATACTGAAGCTATAGTTAAACTCATTCTAGAGTTAAGAATATGAAAGGCTACATTATGTGTCAAGAAGTCGTAGAATGTTAAAAGACAATAGCAAAGTTTTCAGTTATGAAATTTTCTCAAATTTTTGCAATGCGCTTAGTTTATGTAAAATTCATAAGAAATCGAATGACATTCTCCTCTTGTTTGATAAGTTTTATTCTAGTCGAATTTTAAACTTAAAAATCATCATAATTATCAACTTGTTTTTTGTATCTGCAAAAGAAATATTAAAGGTCACATTGAAATCATAATAATCTATTTATTATTTGAATGTATAAGACAACCGATCTTGTGATATTTGTTGGATCTTCTATTTCACTCCAAATGTAGTATTCAATTATTAAAAACTTATTTCGATTTTCTCAACATACCAAAAGTAAAGCAAAATGTGTAAGATGATTACAAGAACATTGAGCATAATCATCAATATATCCAATTAAACGACATCCATTATCGTCTATCCATGCACCATTATTTTCATCAAATGACCAATAAACACATGAGATATTACGCGATTGAATAGACTAACACAATTAAATAGACACTGAAATTTGTTTAAAATAAATTTTCTTACTTCATCTATTCGTATTTGAAATCTTATAATATCATTATCTGTTCTAACATTTGTCCAATTAACTATTTGATAGGATATTGGTATTCCAATTAATTGATGACTATTCTCATTGGTTTGATTAGTTTTATTTATTTGCGGAAATAAATAAAAATTTGAAAATATTGTTTTAATTATACGATAATTATCAGTTGATTCTACTTGCGCTCGTAATGTTTGCATATTAAGTTGAACGATACTATTTGGATAATGATCTAAATGGAAAAAAAAAATTCAAATTAAGAGCAAAATAAATTTCTTTTCGTGTGCAAAATAAAAGATACCAGATGTTATAGAAAACCATTCATTATTCTTGTTCTCTTGTTGCCATCGATCAAAATTTATATTTATTAAAGATGTATTCAAATTATTATATTGAAATGACGTTATTTGTTCATTATTATTAATTTGAATTTTTACTTGAAATAAATCAATAAAATGAAGTAATCTATCAATGAAATTAATTAAACAAATATTTTATAGAAAAGTAGAAAAATAAAAGACATATCACTTATTAGTTATTGTTTTTAATGAATTATTTTCAACTTCAATTTGTCCTGCAATATTAACAATTTGATCAACAATATTTAATACATTGTTTGCTTGTTCAATTGTAAATGAAGGTAAAACAAGTAATTTTTCAAGTGCATCCGTCATTACTGTTATAGAATCTAGATTAATTGAAGAAAAATTTTTAATTTTTGATAAAAAATCATTCAATAAATCATTTTCAGTTTCATTAAATCCAATAATCTTTGCAAAATATTTAAACCGTGTTTTATTAATTGGTTTAACATCTAAGAAAAAATCATTCTTCAAATAAATATCAGAAACAAGAAAAAAAAGACTAACCATCCATTTGACATATAGCACCTAATGTTGGCTTTATACATGCAATATCATTTAATTTTCCTATTTGTTCATATGAACCAGTATTATCTGGACGTGCAATGATTTCTACACATTGTTCATCTCTTTGAAATGCACTATATTGGCGATTATTTGGTTCACCTATATTCCATACTGTCACTTTCTTTTTTTTTTTTTGAATGAAATAACATAAATTTACATGAAAATCTTTTGCAAAAAAACAACTAACCTTTTGTCCATCTGATCCCATATAACAAAGAAAAGTTGAATTAGCAAAAGATGTTTCCGAATATTTATCATCACACTATTACGAACAAAACAAGAAATAAAGACTTATTTACTTTACAAAATATGTCTTTAAGATAATTTTGTGATTTATATAGACAAAAGTTTATTTGTTCGTAAACACAAACATAATATGTGAGGTATGATCTTTCATAAACGACATGATTTTTTTTTTATTTATTACCAAGCATTTTTTTTCAAAAACTTTCGTTGATTTCTGTCATTTTTGTGATTGAAAAATATGCTTTCTTTAGAAATGGCAGGAAATATTTTTCGCATTTTTAATCGTACAACCCACAATATTCTATGAGCGTTTATTCTATATATTCAGTCTTCTGTTTGTTCAAAAGAACATGTCAAGATGCATGATATGAAAGAATTTCTTTATTGAGTTAGGTTTTATTACCATTATATTTGTATAACTCAAAGCACAATTTTTTGAGACATTGAATTTTTCTCTGCTTAAAAAGTTTTCTCATACTCTCTCAAACAAACAAAAGATTAAGTATATAAAATGAAGGCTTACAGAAAAATTTGAGTTGTCAAATGAGCTTGTTTATTGAAAATCTCCCGGAAACATTATAGCATAGAGCTGAAAATAAAATTTTTGTGGAGACTACCACCTTCCGAATGTTGAATTCAAAACCTTTTTGAGTTTTTGATTTTTCATCGTTAATATAGTTTCGAAGCGTCATCTGTCAAATGCCATATACATGAAAGTTCTTCGTTGTTAGTTAGTATATTTAATAAGCACAACTTTCAAAATTTTCAAACAGAAAAACTCACGCTACGATTATTTTTTGTATACAAAACTTACAGAATGATAGTGACTATTTCTCATTCCAGAACATGGCCAATCTTTGTTGTTCTCGAAATCAAATTTTATACAAAACAAAAATTCAAAGTCGCTTCTGTTTCTCCAACAGAGTATATTCGATCGAGTTGAAACTTTGTTCGCAAGTATTGGACAATATTTGGGATGTCTACTTTTTTTTTGTTTCGAAAAATATTGCACCGTTAGTTTTACAAAAAAGCTCTAGTAGAAAAAAATGTATGTTTGGAGATAAGTTCAGTATTTTGATTTTTCTATATAAATGGAAGAAAATAAAAATAAAACAGAAAAAATATAGGTATCCCAAAACAGTGTCTAGTACCAGTACAAAAGAAATGTCAGCTCTATCGAATTTATTGTGACTGACTGAGAATGTCGAATGACTTTTATCTTTTGCAACGAAGATATTTTCTAGAGGGAAGTATTTGAAGTCTATGATAACTTTTGCTCTGCTTACCCTGAAAATTTCAAATATTTCTGATGAGTCATCCTTTAGAAACCTTTAAAAGGAGTTCTCTTACCCTAACAAGAGGTACACGTAAATATCGCGTGCTAAAACGAAGGTCAATCATGCAATCGTATGATACGAGAATAATATATTAGAGCTGTGATTGATGAAACAATATGATTTAACATATGTATGACTTCACATAAATAGCTGTGTTAAAATATTGTTCATAGAATTCTATTGATATTATTGAAACTTACATCTGTTTCATTGTGTGTCCATGTTACATTATTAGACCAAATCCATTTCGATAATGATAAACCATTTTCATCCATATATCGTTTTAATCCAATATAATATCCTCTTGTTTGTGGACATTGACCTTTACATGTTGTATTAACTAATAAATATTTGTGTTATTAGTTAATTAATATTCAAAATATGAATTATATCTTACACATATTCATTTGCTTTAATTGTTCAAGTAAAGAAATATTATCAATAATAGCTAATTGAAGTCCATATCGTTGACACATTTGTTCAGCTTGGTCATATCGTAAAATTTCTGTTATTTTTATATAACAAATACGTCGAATTTTTTTAATGAATTTTAATGTTCTAGGTGGCCATGATGGATATAATGGATTAATACAAGCAAATTGTTCTAAATATTTATAATATTGTTTAAAAATTTTTTCATCGCTTTTAATATTTATAATATTACCGTTGTCTTGTTGACAATCCATTGTTTCTGTACAATATTGTTTACAAGATGAAGATAATACCTGATGACGTCGATAGATTTTTTGTTGTTGTTGATATTCATCAATACATGACTAAAGATAAAATTTAAATCAAAATAAGAAAACAAAACAATATTATTTACTTCACGTTTTGTTTCAATTATTTCTTTTGATTGTTCATAGGCATCCTCAAAAGAATTTTTTGTTTTTAAAAAATCATTTGAATCTTTTCGATCTATTTCGTAGAATTCTATTTATATGAAAAAAAACAAAAACAATATCAATTAAAAATAAGAAATTATTTTTCTTCTTACTTGATTGTACTAATATCAAAAAATAAAATTGTAAAACGAACAATAAAATCATTCTATGTTCAAAATTCAAGAAGAAAAAAAGAACAAATGTGACAAAGTAATCTATCCTTATCTCGTTGTTTTTTTTCTTCAATCTCATGGGATTACACTTTCTTTTTTTTTTTCTTGTCTAGATAATACTTATATATTTGTTTTTCTCACTATTTAAAATTTATATAAATGTTTCTATGGGGAAATCAGTTTGTCTAATATTCAAAAAGAAAGAGTGTTAGACTATAAGGTGTTGTTTTGTTCTTCATATTTCTAATCGTTAGATTCTCTCAAGAGAAAAAAATATGTATACATATATCTATATAGAAGAGTTTAATAAATGTTTGATTTTTATTGAGAATAGAAAAAAAAAAAAACAGTGATTAATTTTCTATGCGTCCTGTTTTGTCTTTGAATATTATAGTAAATATATGAAAGTTTTGTTTTTGAATTAAAGGATGATATGAAATGTCAAATAAAATTCAAGGATCAATGAAAAATGAATTTCGAGAATGAGAAGAAGATCAAAGAATTATTTTTGATCATTATTATGCCAGAATGAATTATATTATCGTATTATGTCATGCAACAAGAATAATGAGTCTAATCTATAATAATTCAAATGAGTCAAAATAAAGCAATTGATCAATAGATAGTCAAGATCATATAGAGATGGAATTGCTTGAAAATATCGTCTCAGAACGTTGCACTTTGGCTAATCTTGTGAGTTGATTTATAACCGAAAAAATAGACGATTGAAAGACATGATTGACTTCAGTAGGCTTTGGAAGTGAAATAAGTTTTCTTATTGTAGGAAAATTTATTTGCTTATATTCATAGGTGGTTAAACAATGAATAATCATAGATTCATGGTCAGCAAAAAAATAATTTTCTGTTTTGATACAACGGACGTTGCAAAAAGTTCGCGGAAAAGTATATGACTTGATTATACTCGAACAGAAGCCGATTGGAAGCTCATTTTTTGCTTGTTAGATAGACCGTCATTTCTACTCTAAAATGAAATATTTTGTCAACTGCTTTTAGATATTTGTCAAAAAAAATCGTCTTTAGTAAACAGTAGACTGTCAAATCTCTTCAATTTAGCTTCCATTTCAACGGAAAAAGAATCAAAATTTTGTTTACGGCATAGCCTTCTGAGATAACTATTGCAGATTAAATATAGAATTATATCGATTCTTCGTATGCAGAAAAATAATAAACAAAACTCGAATCTTATTTTTTTTTCCGAAAGATCAACATTAACAGAGAGAATGGTTCCGAAACTATAAGAATATGTAGAAAAAAAAAATTGCTTCAAATATTTGCTCGAAACAAATAGGATAATTGAAACTGTAAATCTATCTATCGCGTCAAGTTTCAAAAACTTATACAAACAAAATTTTCAGAATCCAAGTCTCTCTAAAGAAAAGTAAATATGAACAAATTTTTTTTTCCTCTAAGTCAAATTTAAGCAAATATATCATCAATACATTATTTTGATTTAACAACAGTCTGTTCTTTAGAAGTTTTGACAAGATCAAGACGGTTTTATTACTACTGTACAATTAGAAATCAGTAAAATATTTCGTTTTGAAGTAGATGTCACGCTCTATGTAACAATGCAATGTAACGTGAAACTATATTGTTTTTTTTTGTTTGACTAAAATAAATCGCTGTATTACGTAAGAAAAAAAAAACTTTTTATTTCAGAGAACATAATAAATCCCGTGGCTGGAAAGTGATACAATTCACTAATTCGTTCTGATCAAAAAGACTTTATGAAAAAAATTGTTGAGATTATTTTCAAAGAGGTTAAATTTTATTTCATCATTACAGCAATAACATGATTTTCTTAACTATTTATATTTTGTCGTTATCGATGATAAAATAAAATTAAAATTGAGAATGTATAATTCAAGTTTTTCAACTTGAATCTTAAATCTTTTGATCAGTCAATACAGTAGAGTGATTGTCAAAATAATCCAACCATTTATTTTTGTAAGCTGTGGCACGCCCACTCTATCTTGAAAGAATAAAACTAATTATTTTCTACATAAGAAAGACCTTTTATCATAACTAACCTCTGATTCTAAGTTAAAAACAGCAACGTTTATTTTATTCATACCGGAAATTTTTGTCAAAAGGACGACAAATGGTACTTTTGTCATGTTATATTCAGCTAATTTCATCGTTCAATATATCATTAAAAAATGCATCAGTGTTGTACGGAAAAATATTTTCTACAAATTCATATTATTAAAACGATATTTATAAATTCTTCAATTCGTGAATGAGATAGTACAAGAGAAGGTATATGTGTGATTGTTATATATATATATATATATAGAAGACGGTCAATACAATTTGTCAACATGAAATATCTAATCAAATTGAATATCTGATGCATTTTGTCGTGTAGTTTTTTTTTTCAAATGACATATTGAATGAGAAAATTAGCTAAATATGACATGACAAAAGGAGTCTTTTATCATTTTTTTGATGCAAATTTCCGGTATGGGTAAAAGGAACATTGCTGTATTCTATCCAGAATGAGAGGAAAGCAATGATAAAGAGTATTTCTTATGTAGAGCACATTTTTTGTTCTATTCTTTCAATTAACAACGAGTGTACAACAGCTTGCATCAATAAATGATTTCATATTTTTCGAAGAATGAAAAAGTTCAAGCTGTGATTACATCATCAATAAAAACTAAAATAGATCAATGAATTGACTTGAAATTTTCTACCATTATAATAGAGACTATGGTCGTTAATCCATTGAAAACTATTTTATATTATTTTTGCAATATATACGAATACATCAATGCCACCTGTGTGTATCAACATGTTGTTACAATTATTTCTGAATGAATACTATTGATGTGCATCGCCCGTGCTCCCTCCTCTGATGAATGTACATCAAACGCTAAAAGTTAGCAGAAGGATTGACTTGCTCTTTATAAGATACCGTTCATTGAATTACTTCATATTGATATTCATTTGTTAAATTTCTAAATTAAATCGTATTCATTGTTGATTAAAAGTTATCTGGATAGCAAATCGACCTTATTCACAAGTTAGCAAAATTTCACTGTGATAGTTCATAGACAGTTTTTTACGAAATACAATAGCACTACAAATATGAGAAAGAAATTTTTCCATTTATTGTTAGATGTGGGCGCATCATTCACCAAAAAGGCTTTTATAGTGATGATCTTCCCCGCCTTTATTTTAGAATTGTCACGCTAGTTGCGTTTCACTTTTTAGAATCAATACATGTGTCTAATCGATACTATTTTTAAAAAAAAAAGATACTTATGTCTTATTTTCGACTTTTTCTGTTTTTTTTTTTGACAAATGAATTCGAAAAAAAAATAAATACATGCACTGCATATATGTGACTGAGTCTCAGAAAGAAAAAAAAACCGGTACATAGAAATCAAAAATCACTCGGAAATATTTGAAACGACAATCAAAATAGAATACACGAACAGAGCAACATAAAAAGAGAAATAAATTTTAATGAGATGAAAATTACCATTTTGCTTTCGTTGATTTTCTTACAGGTCCACTAGGTCCATCCATTTGTTGTAATTTAGCTGGAAGTTCATTAGATGTTGGGAATTTATTTGTGGAGTTTGACGTTACTGATGTTCGTTGATCAGGTGGTGGTGGCGTAAATCTAAAGAACAAAAAAAAAATAGTTGCTTTTTTTTTTGTTTTAATTTTTCCGATAATTTAACCTCAATAGATCTTCTGTTTTATTCATATCATGATTAGTGTTATTAGACATTGAAGCGTAAGAGCTTCTAGATTGTCTTGGTTTTTGATCCAAGGCAATAGTTTCAATAGTTGGTTGGACTTGTATTTGATTATTAAATAGTACAGTTGTTGTTGTTGTTGTTGTTATTGCTGCCGTTGTTGTTATAGCTGCTTGTGGTAGTTTTTGTTGAGTTTCACGTTCATGTTTTTCTCGTTCACGTTTTTCCCGTTCACGAGCACTTTTTTCAGCTAATTTTACTAATTCTTTGTCAAGACTAGAAAAAACAATGAAAAAAAATCGCATGATTAAGTTTGTTTTTATAATAGAAAAGCGATTATAAGATTTTCGATGATTTTGACTAGAAACAAAATACACAAAGTATTTCAAAAGTCCAAACAAAAAACCAAACATGAATATCATGGTCTAATTCGAATCAGCGATCATTGTAAAACGAAAGTTGTAAGCCGAAATTCCGGAGGAGAAACATAACCGATATTAAAATCATATTTTAGCAAGTTTGTGAAATTTATACTACCGAATATCGATGATGTTCTACAAAATCTTAAAGTAAATACTCAAAAAACAGCTAAGGATGACTGTGAACATGAGTGAGGATGAAGTATACAGTCCATTGCACAAGTTTGCCCATTACTATAAACAACAACATACCGGATTATAACGGAATATCTCTTATTAAAATCGTACAATGTACAATTTGTTCAATTTAGATTTGCAGACACCTTATCGAATATAAATATATTGAATAAAATTTAAATGAATCTATATGACCAAACGGAAAAAAATTCAAATCTTTTGAATTGTTGAAGAGCTATTTACGTTTTTTTTTTCGTTCGAACTTTTGGAACACCTTGTATTTAGTCTTTCTCTAGAAGCCTACATATCTCCTGTCCTGTAAAGAAAAAATCTTATAATCGTATTTATTTCATACCCATGATTATTTTCAGATATAACTGGTGGTGGTAATTCCTTATCAAAACCATCTTTTCCTGTAAGCCAATAAGTTTTATAATTACCCCGACCCTTAAATAAAATAAATCAATATATATATATATTTTTTCCTAATTAATTTCTACTTTAATTTCTGTAACTCCACGATATTCTAAATGAAAACCATGAATTTCTTCTAATAATCCAGCCGTTGTTTCACTTGAATGAATACGATAAGCTAGATAAAAAGAAATAATCTATAAAAATATTTCAATTAATTAAATATTCATTTTACATACCCATGCCAGTTGATTCCATTCGAGAAGCTGTATTAACTGTATCACCAAATAAACACTAGAAAAAAAAAAACAACAATAATCTAATTGCAATAATTATTTTTTTTTTTGCGTGTTACATATCGAGGCATTTTAAGACCAACAACACCAGCAACACATGCACCTGAATGTAATCCAATACGTAATTGTAATGGTACACCAGGCATATGACGAATTTTAAATTTACCACAAGCATGTAATAATGTTAATGCCATAGTAGCTATTTCTGAAGCATGTTTATTACCATTTTCAATTGGTAGACCACTAACAACCATATATGCATCACCGATAGTTTCAACCTTGAAAATTTAAGCATTTTAGTATTAAAAATATATTTTTAAACTATAGAAACGGTTAAGTTGTTTTTGTAATCGTTTTCAATATGAAAAAAATCGGAATTAGGTATTAACAAGCGTGAAAGTAAATAGGATTAGTTTGGTTCTATTTAGAAATAATCGGATTAGAATATATTTCATAAAAATAAAAGAAAATCTATGATCTTCTTTAACTTCTATATTAAACAAAAAAACAATGAATCATTTGATTGTATTGATTTTGTGTCATCACGAACTTATATATCTGTAAAGTCTTATTTATATTTACTATTCAATGTTAAGATTGTAGAATGAATAAAAAATATTCCCAATAGAATTAATTAAATTTTATTAGTAATGAAATTGTAGGAAATTATTTTAGTATGACAATACTTGAAGTATATTTTATTTAACAGAGATCTAAAAAATGACATCAAATTTGACTGTCTGAAACAAATATGAACCTTGATTTTTGAGCTTTTCATAGACCAGATAGAACGCTTAAAATTAATAAATCATTTGTTTTTCATATTTTTTTTTTTCTAAATTTTTAAATGAACACAATCATAATTAATTACTAAATAATTATTAAAAAATCTTATTATTCTCTGATTCAGATTTATTAGTGGCGTAGCGAAGAGCGACTGCGCCGTCTTACATTCTGCCACAAGCTTTGCCATCAGACAAAACACGACTCTCTTTCTCTTTAATTAGTTTATATAATTTATTCAAAACGATCTAACTTAAAAAATTTTCTTCGTTTATTCTCCAGAAAATACATAATTTTATTAAATTAATAAAGTCTTATTCTAGTCACGTTGTTTTCGATATATATAGAACACTCTTATCGGCTTATTTTCCCAAAATTATCTTCTGCTTTGATTCAATTATCATCATTATATTAATATGTCAAAAATAGAATGCACTTGCCATAATAATCAGCCAAGTTGATAAAAATAGATGATAAACATAAGTATACCGACAAGGTTTATAGTCAATCCAGATCGATGAAATGCAAACTTAATGCAATCTTTGGTATAAAAACTTTCCAAAAAACAACCTACTGAGTTTGTTAGCAACACAAAATTCTTCAAATTAATAACCCGATAATTTTAGACTCTTATGAAAAGAAATACTTTTTGCATTATTTGTTCATTAAAAACGAAATTAAAAGTTTGGCACATAATACTGTGCAATAAAAACTAGAACCAACTTCTGATAGTTCTTTAGTATAATTGATTTTCTTTCTCACCTTATAACAATCAAAATCTTCTAGAATTGAATCAAACATTGTATATAAATCATTGAGTAAATCAACAACTTCCATTGGACTACTCAATGCTGATATTGTTGTAAATCCCACAATATCAGAAAAATAAATTGTTACACATTCATACCAAACAGCTTCAACAGCTTTACCCGATTTAAGACTATCAGCAACACTCCTGAGAACAAGAAAAAAACAAGCAAACAAATCAATAAATTCATTAAATAGTTTAAATAAAAAGGACGAAAAACATACGGTGGTAACATTTGTGATAATAATTTATCTGTTTTTTTCTTTTCTTCTTCAAGTTGTGTTGTTCGTTCTTTAATTAAATCTTCCAAATTATTTGAATATTGTTCAAGCATTTTAAACATTGTATCAACAATATTGACTTTTCTGTAAAACAAATTATTCAATATATGAATGTTAACGAACAGTGCAAAAGTTCTACATTAATTTTCTTTTCAATATACCATAACAAGTACTCATCGTAAAGATTAGATATTTTTCTTTTGAGAAAAATCAAAATCTCTATTAAAAATATTTCATAACTTTACGCAAAGTCACTATAATATTATATGCTTTTGTAAAGGACTTATCAAATTTGTGATTTTGCTAACTTTGACCGCTGTAAAAAATCTTTTTTTTTTTTTTTTTTTTATTGTGAACACTTTTTATTAGTAAAGGACGTTAGATAAAATGTCAATTTCGAACTAAACCAATAATTTGAAAATTTTATTTTTCTATGTATACAATGCTTTATTGTAGCGATACAAAAAAGTGAAAAATAAAACGAAATTTCTTCTAAATTGCAGAAGTTTATCGAGAACTTTTCAGCCTTGAGGAAATATTATGAATAAAATATTTTTTTTTTACACAACTTTGCAGTTGAGACTTTGCTCTTTCTAGCAAGAAAAGTAATAAGTTTTCATAACGAGTCATTGTCACGCTATACTAAAAACAAAATTAATGCAAAACTTTTGCCCTACTTATGATTATTTTTTTCTATTTATAAGTCATATATCTCTATTTTGACTGTAAATCTGATATTATGTTGACAACAACATCACTATTTATATCTCTGCTATGAATTCTTACTTTCCACCATTAAGTAATTTAATTGATTGAGCAAGATCATTAAATGATGGTCGGGTTTCAGCTTGTTCAGCCCAACATTGTTTCATTGAATTAATATATTCTGGTGGTGCTACTTGTTTCGATACAGATGGTCTTAATAATGGTGGTGGTTTTTTTATTTTAGCAATGATTTCTATATTAACAGAAGATAAAATATAGTAATCATTTTTATTAATAAAAAAAAAGAAACCTTGTGGTGTAAGATCAAGCATACAAAATGGTGGTCCACGAAGAATAACTTCTTGCATAATAATACCAAAACTATAAACATCACCAGCTGCTGAACTTGTCATTACTGTAGCAACATCATTTTTAATTATTGATGTACGAATATGTTCAGGGGACATCCATAAAAGATCTTAAAATAATGAAATTATTTTTTTGTTTTTTGTCTATGTTTATACAAACCAGTTATATCAACTTGTCTTGGAGCATTTTGTAAAGAATACATTTCATTTAAATGATAATCTGTGACTTTTAATACCCAACGTGAATCAACAATACAATTTCTTGATTTTAAATTTCCATGACAACGTATAGGTGAATTTGACAAATATCTCATACCCTTTAAAAAGATTCTTTTTTGTTTTTAGTTTTCTATGGAAAAAATCGAAAATAATCATACTCGAACAAGATCATTAAGCATTGACCATTTAAAATTCCAATCAAGTTTAATTTCTTCTTTCTTGAGAATATCCTATAAAGTAAATGTCAATTATTCTTTTGTGACATAATGAAAAAAAAAATTCTTTTTATTTTAAAGCATCAAATAGCGTTTTTAAAGTACTCTTTGCACTCAACATTCTATTTACCAAAAAAAAAGCCAATGTTGACTAGTCTACATAAAATTAATTTGAAAGATCGTCTAAATTTGATGAAATCTTTTCGAATATTTATTTTTGTCTTTTAAGCTTGATTAACATCTCGCTATATTTCAACAAGAAACCTAATTAAAAAAAAAAAGTACTTTCTTTTCCTTTTTTCTTAGGCAAGAGGTTAAACATAATGTGTCATCTGTTGTATCTTCGCTATTTTTTTAATCATCCATTGCATAGCATGATGATTCTCGTTAAAACGATCACGAATAAAAAAATGTTTGTCACAATTAAAACAGACGGCTTTTATTCTATTTTCTCTAGGATGATTCACTTTTCTTAATTGTTATTTCCTGATTTTCTCATAGCAGTCTTCAAACGATGTGCGTAAATCCTCTCTTCTCTTCAAGCTTTTAATTAACAAGTTTACGTTTGAATGGCTTGCTGGCTTCTTTTTTTCAATCAGGACTTAACTTTTCGAACAACATATTTAGTAAACATCGCACAATGCTCTCTCAGAATTAGAAGATTTAAATGGCATCTAGGCAAAATCGTGGTTCCATCGGATTCATCAATTGACATAGAAACTGTAGCAAAACTTATCTGAAAAGTAACGCTCCTCTCTTCTTATTCGCCTTTCTTCGAAATAAAAAAGTTGTTTTTATACACTCGAGAAAATAGAACCAAATAGGCGACAAAGAGAAGACGAAGTAGAAATTTCACTTCTTCTATCTCATGACAACCATGCAATACGTGGGACAAAGAGAAAAATAGAATAGAAAAGTTATAGAGTTTGTCGAGAAAGAGAACTGCCCATGTGATGTTACAAAAAGAAAAAAAGAAAATAACTGGGCAATACAGAATAAAAAGGCCAACGACTGCATTGTCGAAAGCTGGATAAACACGAAAATGAGTATGACAGCATTCTTCTCTAACAAAATCGAATCATATCGAATGTCTTAAATACAATTAGCATAAATCTTTTAGAGAAGGAAAAGCAATATGTCTGAATCTGATAATGATTTCGATTATTTCTATAATTTGACTAATGCTAATCCATGAGATTATTAGCTTCTATTCTAATTATTTATATTTGAAATTCTTCACACTGTTGTATATAATATCCAGAAAATTTTTTTGTGTAAAATTTAAACAAATCAGATAACATCATTTGTCGTAGCAAATATTGAAATTGACTCATAGTAAAACAATGAATTTCAATGATCATTTTAATGAATAAGAAAAATATACATGATATCATTCGAGTCAACATTTATTTTAGATAAAAGTTTATCAATTATGAACGAGTCGTGTCTCCTATGGTACGAAATGGTTTATACAACCAAAAAAAACTATAGTACCTTTATACTCTTTACTCTACATCTAGTCTACTGATCAAACAGATCTCTCACAAAGCATTTTTATTGCCATTTGAAAATTAATAAAAGTACATTATGATCTTATCAATGATCTCTTAAAGCAAATTTCTAATTTCTCGATTCAAATAAACAAAGTATTGAAAAAGAAAAAGACAAATTAACTAAATTTTCTTACTTCAAGACTACCACGATGACCATATTCATATATTAATGCTGGTGCATTTTGATCAATAAAAAGTCCAATAAACGTATTAACATTTTCATGACGTAAATCTTTTAATTGTCGTAACTCACGCATAACTTTTGTACGAAGTGATAATGGACCAATGTGTAATTTTTTGACTTCAACTAAATCACCCTATATATATATAAATTCAAAAATTAAAATCTTTAATTTTCATTGAAATCAATTTACATTATAACGAGCTGTTTTTCCTGCTTGAATTTCTTCACTACGTATAGATGCATTACTACGTTCATGTGCTTCATTTTTTAAATTAACCTATTATTATATAATAAAAAAAGAATTAAAATAAATTACGAAAAGTTTCTTCTTTTTTTATACGAACTTTGCTTGTAAATATTGAACCTTTGGGCATAACAAACATTATATCATCAGGTAGTAATATAATTTTATTTGGACCTTTCGATAATTGTTTACGATTACGTTGATTTCTAAACAATAATATTTTTTATAAATTTTTTATTTTTCTTTACTTACCGAATAACAAAGAAAGCAATAAGCCCAGCAGTACATATAAGAACTACACCCAATAATGTAAAAAGTGCAATACGAAGAATACGCCAACCTAGAATATAATTTTTTATTTTTGTTTTTCTAATTAGAATAACTCCAAAAATTGATCATATAGATTGAAATTCGATTTTTTGTTTAGTAATGAAAACGAATCGAAATAGTAATATGAATAGAGAAATTGATTGAGAACTAAGTTATGAAGGAAAAATCATTTTCTCACAATATTCGCAAAATCCAGGATCTCTAGAAAACTTAAAATCTAATTTTTCATTATCGTACTAATCAAAATTTCAATAAGGTTAGGCAACTTAAATGCTTGAAAAAAACAGCACGACAGATAAATCAAAAGACTAAGATACATTCGTATGTACTTCAACAACTAGAAGATTATCATTTATTTCGCGTTAAGCTTTCACGAGTAAAATGTATGCTGATCAATTTCAAAGAGTCAAATTGATTATTATTTTTAATTATACAGTTATTTCACTTAATGCAATTGATAGTGTATTCAACTTTGTGTGTAGATGAAGAATGTCATAAGAATCAGCGTTTATTAATTGGCTAAACGAAATGTTCGCATGATAAAGATTTCTGATTGTTATCAATAGGAAGATAAAAAATTCGTATAAGACGTTTTGACAAAAAAAATTATGAGAATGTAATCGATTAAAAGATAGATTTTCAATTGATTTGAGTCCTTTTTGTAGATTAAAACTATATATTAAAATTCAAACAAAATCAAATTTTTTTCTGTTTTCTTACGTAGGAAATCGCGAAAAAAAACATCACTATTGAACTTTTCTTAAAATTGATATAGTTCAGTCAAAAAAAACTGTCGTATAGAGCTTGAAAATATCTCATTTTCTAGAAAATTAATTGTTCTATAGGCCTATGTAATTTATTTTCCGGTTCTAAATGCTGAAAAACTAGATTTAGGGTTTTCTAGAGGCTTTGACTTTTATGAATACTGTAATGATTTTATTTCCTGTAAGTCTATGTTCGAAACAAATTTCATTATTCAAATCTTTATTTGAATTCTTTCTTTATGCTTGTTACTATTATGAGGAAAAACTCGAAATTATATCTATATAATCCATTGTTTTTGAAATCATTCTAAATTTCTACATACCACTATCTTCTGCTGTAATTATTGTTGTATCATCCAATGGAAAATTAATACATACATTTAAATTAGTATTAACATTTGTTAATATTGAAGTGATAGTTTTTAAAATAATCCAACTACCATTACATTGTCGACCAACTAATGCATAAATAAATGAACGTTGTTGATTATTATCAAATGTAATTTGACCAAATATAGTTGATTGATTTGTTAATGGAAAATCTACCATTGGTATTTGCCGTAATAAATCAACATTTTCAAGTTCACTCAAAATAAAAATAATCTTTGAAAGAAAAGAAAATAATTTAAATTAAATTTCTAGAAATAAAAACAAAAAAAAAAACTTACATCATCAGACAATGTTTGATTTAATGTAGGATTAAATATTTCTTGCTCATACATTGAAACTATATCATTAAAATCATTTGTCACACTAATATCCATTGGTAATAGATGAAGAATAGGAAATGATGATGTTTGATATGATGTTACATTGGGTGAAAATTGTGTTGTATAAAAACTAACAAAATGATGTGACCAACGAATAAATATAAAAACAACACTTTTCGTTGTTGATTGATAAGACAATGAAATAGTTGAATAAAGAGAAATTTCTTCGTCATATGAACATATTATAAAAAAGACTAAAGAAAAACAAGATCATTCGAAATTAATTTATCATTTTTTAAAAACATAATTAACAAATAGTATTGAAGTTTGTAATAAGAATTTGAATTTATTATTAAATTTTGATTTTCTTTTACACACAAAAATTGATTAAATGATTTATTCAAGTTTAGATTCGATCAATAATAATTCTGAGATTTGAATATAGTTTATAGAAAATTCTTAATCTAGACTTAATTTTCATCAGTAAACATTTATTTAGTTTAATATTACCTAATCAAACTTGAAAACTAATTCCAAAAAAAAAAAAATCAGACGTTATTTTGTTTTATTATTATTTCAATGACAACCATCCACTTAGAATATTACTTAAACCAAACTAGATATGGGATCTGTTCACATTTTTCTGTTGGATTCAATTGGCTCTACTCTCAACATGTCACTAACGACTATTTGTCTTGAATCATCCGCGTTTGATATCGTGCAGACTACATTGTAGCATGCACTTATAGCTAGATAGTATCTGATTAGTTAGTATAAGGAATTTAAGCAATTGAGCGTAAGTACTTGACGTCAGACTGACTTTTTGTTCAAAGCTACAGCTAAAATCAGTTGTAGGGAAGATATTGAGCTATTGAATCTGCGAATAGGCAGCATCCCAAACTGGTAGGTATGAGTATTCTTTCTGTACTTTTGTAAAAATTCAAGCATGATTGATCCCATCTCTGCAATATACTGATCAGTAGTGTATATAATATTCATAATTTTGAATATCAGCTTCGCTCTAGAATAACTATCTTCAAGCGTATGTAAAAAAAAGAATAGCTTCTTTTCATCATTTGTCAAACAAAAAAGAAAAGTCTTCTATTTCTATTAAAGTATAAACATTAATAATAAATGAACGAGATGCTTCTAAAAAAGAATTTCTTTTCATTAAAAAGTCAATAGACTAACCTCTACTTTTTTGTGAATAAATTAATGATGATGATGATGAAAAATTTGATAGAGGTATTAATCGTTCAAAAATATAAGACTTTCTAGTTAAATAATTCGAAAATTGTTGTGCTAAATTCGAATAAAATTCATTTGAATCACTTAATATCATCGAAAAATAATGTAAAGAATAATAACTCATAAAGGATGAAGCTGCTTGTCCTAATTCTTCACTTGTAACTGTCAATTTTAAAATATTGTTCGATGGATTTACTTGAGTAAAACATACTGGAACACTTATATATTTTGTTAAATAATTCATGGCTATCGCTGATGGATATGAACAATCACCAGTATTCCATTCAAATACAATTGATTGAATATTAGAAGCATTTAAAAGTGTTTTTGTTGATTGAATTAAATCAACAGTTGATGATGATAAACGTTTTACATATGTAGTATTTGTTAATATTGAACCTTTCGAACTTAGTAATAAATTTATATCACTTGCCGCTGTATTTGAAAAAACATAAGTTATATTACTTTGACATAAATACGATGGAATAAATATAAATAAAATAATAATACTAAACAAAAATTCCATGTGTACAACAGGTTGATTTTTCTTTTTTTCAATTCATTATCTCAAAAACAAAAGGGAAAGGATAAAGTAGAAAACAAATTGAATTAAAATTTTGAAGTTGATTTTTTATTCTTATTAAGTTTAAACTTTCTGGTATTTATCTAATAAAAAAAACCGGAACATAAATATAGCTGTAAGATAATGAAGCCATGTAATACAAAGCCAATCAAATTTATATAATCTTCATACCTTAAGACAAAATACGAACGAATATTTTTTTAAACTAGTTTAATGATTAATAAAATAAATGTACCAGAATAAATAATTTTGTTAAGTTGACATGAGCTATCTGATGTTAAACAAGATTTTTCTTTTTCCTTTTTATATAAAACTTACTTTGCTAGTTTTATCATTAAAGATCAAGCTTTTAGTAGCATATAAATAAAATACATCTGTTTACGCACTGAAAAATATCCAGAATGATGATAATGATTATTGCTTCAAGCAATGTATAGCTTATTTAGATATATATATATATGTGTGTGACATGCGCCCATTATCTCGTTTTCTTAATCACACTAATGAAGAGACAAGCTTCCATTTCATCTTGTTTCTCTGTTTTTTTATGAATCTTCTGCCTTCTCTATGCGTATAATATTGTTTAATCAATCTCGTTTTTTCTTTCTTGTCTGGAAATGACATTAGAAAAAAAAGACGGAAAGCGAAAAACTTTGTCAGCATCAAATATGAGAAAGATCTATTCGGTTTGTTAATTCGAACGTAAAAAAGTGATGAGAATGACAATGACAATAGAAACAGTAAAACATTACTGTAGTTGTTCAAAAAGTAAAAAGTGTGAGACGAAGAAAAAAAAGAGATAAAAGAGAACGATAATCGGTAGTGAAGCAAAAAGAAAAGTGATGTGATAAAATGAATACACCAATGCGTTTTCTTGTTAACTGACATAGTTTGCGGCTGAAAAAAAGTGACATTAAAATGACAAAGTTTGAAGCATATGCAACCAAGATAATTGTGGGTGTCGCATCATTAGAGAATGACAGAGAAGAAACGAGACGATTTCCGCTTAGTCTTTCTTCCATATATAATTAGAATGAACAAAAGTATGACTAAGTTTAAAGTTTCTTTCTATATATCTAGTTTTCATGTAGAAATATTGTTTATTTTTGATAATATCAAAACGAAATTTCTTACATGAAAACTCATCTATAAATCGATTATGTTCTTGAATTGAACATAGATATTTATTTTAAAATATCAAACAAATTGAATTTATATTTATTCTATTGATATGTTCATGATATTATGTAATATTTAGACTTACTTATCTATTGATGGATTAACTAAAAACAAAATAAAACAACAGTTTATCTGTGTCAACAAGTTATTTATTTTATTTACACTTGCTGAATTTGACTCTGTTCCTTACAAAAAAAAAAGAGAAAAAAAAAGTAAACCTGGTTTTAATAAAAAAAGTGAAATAAAAAAAAAAAAAGAAAAGATAGTCTGCAAAGAAAGAAGAATAGATGGGAAAGAAATTTTACTTTTTCTACTCTTTTGGTTCCATAAAATTCACAGGGCGCGGATGCTGAATATCTTCTTTATCCTTACAGTCATCGTCGACGGTGTAAAGAATGTAGCGTGTCACTAATCGGCTTAAAACAGATGCGTTTTCTCCGTTGTCATGGTACTTTTTTCTCTAGTTTTATGCGCACTTAGATAAACAGATAGATGGTATGCAGCTGACAATGTAGATTTGTGCTTGATGGATTTAATTAGAAAAAATTGATGCTGTGCAAAACTCATCAAGGCAACGAAGATACAGAGAAGAAGAAAAAAACGTCATGGCTCATTCTAGTACATCACAACAATAACAATAACAAAAAACAAAAAATATAATAAAGTTGATCAACTTGAAAAGTCAAATTTACACACAATAATACCATCAAGATGTGGTACAGGTGTATGAATATCTTCATTATCAATTTCTTCATATACATATGTAGGCATTGATGTTATACCATCATTCATTAAACACATTTCAGATGGATCAATACGGCGTTTAAAATAATAATGACATTCTGTTGTTTGATTATCAAATTTCTTTCCAGCTAAATGATGTATACGAGGTTTAATATCTCCTAATGTAATACGTTCAATAGGAATATTCAAATGAATCATATATGGAACATCTTTATTTTGTATAAAACATGCCAATGGTGTTTTAATTGCTGTCGTTATTGAATTTGTGGAACCTTTAAAAGATAAAAGAATCTTAAAAGTACTTTTCTTTTGTGTTTTGTTTTAATATCAACTTAGTTTTATTTTTTTTCAATATTATATAAAACATTCAATTATAACTCAGGGATATTTTTCTTTTTTTTTGGTCTAAGATTAAATCTTCATAGAAAATAAAAAAAGAATTGAAATTAAATTCAAGAATTTCAAAAGACATCATCTGTTTGGTTTTTTTTATGGAAAATCTTAAGGACATCATAGTTAAAAATTTATATTCTATATTGTAAGAATAAACGGAATACAAAGTGCTTTACTCAAAATAAGAAATATAGAACAAAAATTAATGAATATCTCATACATAATGAGATTAATAATAGATTATAAAAAAAAGAACGTGTTCAAAAGACATTATAATATATACGACAAAAAAAAAGAAAGTCAACGAATAAGATGTTATATTCTTATTATTATCGTTATCAATTTCTTATTTTAAAGATACAAAAAAAAATTCTTGTGCAAATGTAAATTTATTTATACGAAATTAATATGATTAAAATATATGATATAACCGGCAAGGATTTTCTTATATATTCCCTATATATTTACACTTGTGTCAGGTAACGAGTGATTACAAAGTTGTAAGATGAGATCATTCTTCACTTTGCAAATATGAGTTTAGAAAAATTGTATCCATCTTTGTTGACGAGTTGCCGGAAAGTTTTTCCCAAGACATGAAAATTTTATTTTCAACGAGCTAACAGAGTTTTCTTTATCCTATAAGCCCATTTTCGATTAAATGTGATATTAAACTAAGCTGTAGTTTTTGTTCATGTGAAAAAGCTATAAGCATTATTCTCAAAAAATGAGTATTTACACAAAATGGGAATTAAGATGATATATCAATAAAAATCCTAACATTCAGTTTCGAATTGCAACAGTGAAAATACAAAGATTTCCTGCCGAAACTAATTTTTTCCCAATTTTCAAAGATTATTTCATTAGGGTATGTTCGGAACTCATATCTTTTGACTCGTCCATCTAACGAATAAATATAGTAGGTTTTATATCTTCTTTATAGATCTCAAAAGAAACTTCCTCCAACTGATTAATTACTTTGAGCCGGAAGCATGTGCATCATGTAGGCTCTAATGGATAATGAATCCTGGGAAAAAAGTTCCGGCATATAGGCTATTGCTGTTGACGTATTTCACTTTTACGGCATTTTTTAATGCAATGCCGTTGTCACCTTAAGAACACTAGAAAAACGGATTTTCGAACTTCAACTTGAAATTTTGCATGGAAATAAACCTTAACGAGAATAATTAATCATAAAAGTATTAAGTCATTTGATCTGTTCTTTTCTTGATAAAAGAACATCAAAAATATTCAAAATCCTCACAGTAAAATATTCTCATTAGAGTTGCTACCGGCAAAAGCTTCCAGTTGAAATTCAAAATGAAGTTTGCTTGGTGTTCCTTAGGGAACCATAACATTGTATTAAAAAGTATCGCAGGAAATTACAATATGTCGACAGTAATAGCCTAGTTGCCGGCACTTTTTTCCTAGAATTCATAACCCATTAGGGCTCACATGATGCGCATCCTTCCAGCTCAAAATCCGATTAATTAGTTAGAGGATTTCCGTCTACAGTTGCTATTGTTTCTAATTGAACTAGTTTTTTTTCCCAGGTGAATTTTTACTTGTTTTATAAATTCAAAACTAAAGAGTAGAATGCACGACTTCAATAGATTAATTCTAAAATATTTAAAAAAAGCTTTAAACAAATCTTGTATTAATAATTTAACACTGATTCAGAGAATAATGATGTTTAGTTAGTGATTTCTTTTCTTTTTATCTCTTACAGTTAAATAATTACTTATTAATAATAATAAAAACGAACCTAAAAACTCATAATTAATATCCTTACCAAGTGTTTTATTTGCATTAAAACTTGTTAATATATCTCTTTTAGACATATTTTGTTTCGATGATTTAACAGTTGATGTACTTATTGATGAATTCATTTTTTTCGGTGTTGAAGCATTTATTCCTTTAATTCGTTTATCTTGTTGTTGTTGTTTATTTAAATAATTTTTCCATATTTGTGATGAGAGAAAATTCGAATAGAAATTTTGTTTTATATATTGTAACATATCTTTCATAGCTGGTTGAAATATTTTATATGGATCTAACGTACGTTGAGATATTTGTTGTCGAATTAACTCTCTTGTTGTTGATTGTAACCAACTATTTGATATTGTTTCATCATTAATATATTGTTTATAAGCAGCACGTACAGCATATAATGCTTGTCGTTTGTCTAATGTTAAATTTGATATACCAATAACAATAGCACAAAATCCAACTAATGATTCACGTCCATGAATTTGTAAAAATTCTGCTAGAATTGGAAATGTTTCCTTACTATAAATAATATCTGATATTGATGGTGATGATAGAAATTGTGTACGTTTTGATAAATCTTGATTACTACCGTAGCCACGTATATAACGATTTGATAATGACGATGAATGACAACTACGTATTGAACTTCCTGTACGACGTGTACATTCAGTATCGCTATACATTTCTATTTTGCTTTTCTCAATGAATATATCTTTATATATATATATGACTATGAGTAAGGTCAGCACGAAAATGACCGACGAAAAAAGAATTCGTTCATTTCTTTTCTTCTTTTTTTTTTGTTTCCTTCTTCTATCACACAAATGATTATTTTCGTTCGTTTTCTCGTCGTCATTGCTATATTTTATTATTTGTTTGATCTTTTTTTGTATTATATACCGGCATCATGCAAAACTAAAACGAAAAACATCTGTTATATGAAACAAAAAATAAACGAACAACAATACATACATATGGGAAGATTTTTTTTTTTTTCAAAACATTTCAATATGATGAAATTCGATAAGAATAATAAACTAATTTATATTTATTTATTCTAGATGATGTTCGATTTTTTTTTTTATAAATTCAAAAAAAAAAAAAAGGATTGTATGGAGAATGTGCGTGACATAAGAAAAAAAATACTGTTATTTTTCTATCGATTATTATCAAACGGTCAATTTTCCGATTGATTAATAGATTTTATTTTCACACATTGAAAAGACTTTCATCATGAATTAACACTGTATTTGTTTTGTTGAAGAAAAAAAAAACATTACGACATTGAAATTTATTTCTTTTACTATGATTTAAGCATCATTACCTTAATTCGTTTTTGAATATATATTCTATTGTGATTGCATATTGTGTCGGTTAGTCAATTAAGACATCGAAATCATAATGACAAGCAATCTATCTTAGTATTAGACATTTGAAAAAGTTCAAATACATTAGCTTGAAAAAAAAGGAATCTTCAAATCACGGTAGTAAATATTAGATTCATTTCACTTGTTTCGATACAGTACAAGGAATGACAATATGTTCTATTGATCATATGAAATCAATTTGTTTTTTTCTTTTAAGTTCTCAATGAAAAGTATTCTTGATTTATACATAATATCGTTCATTCTTGAATCAAACAATTATGTCATTATTTTTTTTTCACATGAATATAGATTGGCTAGGTTACTAATGTGTTTAAATGATTAAGTTTATTTGTCATGAGAATTGCCGGTCTTGTTTTTTAAACTTTTTTTTTTTTTATTGTTCTTCGATAAACAATTTCGAATATGAATAATTTTAATCAATTAATTTGTCATTAATAGAAAAAAATAAATAATACATAAGATGATTTATTGTCCATTGAATATTTTTTAATTTTAATTAGTCTTTAAAGTAATTTTTTGCTTCTAATGATTTACTTTCTTTGATTATTTAGAAGAAGAGAAATGAGTAATGTACATATGAACATGAGTCTTCGCTTCAACAACACCCACATTACTCATTTGCTAACTTCTCTTCTTTCAAATAATAAACGGAAAGTAAATCGTGCACACTCATGAGATAATAGATATAGTAAGACAAAATAACATAAGAAGAAAATGATGTCACACATAAGTGAATATGTAGTAGAAACAGATAGACTATGTTAAACGAAAATTACATTAAATAATATTGTCATAAGTCTTCTTTTGTTTTTTGAACCGTCTTTATTTTATTGTTCTCTCAATTGTGTAAAAGGAATATTATCATCTATAACTTCATTCATATTGGATAGAACGGATAGTTCAAGAGGTTCATTTAAAAGAATGAATTCAACTTCTTATGTTGCACATCGGTATGATAAGACACCGTTTATGAATCTTTTTTTAGTTAATGAGATCATTTTGATCTGAAGAGAAGACATTACTTATTAATTGCATCTTATGAATGAATTAACTTCTGACAAAAGTGCATTATCTAATACAAAATGCGCTATATCTATTAATCATGAACACGAATATTCTGTCATTGATTGCGCATGAATATATTTGATGATCAAAAGAAAATATTTCTCAATTTATTATTATAAGAACAATGCAGTGATGGTCCGAAATAGCCAATATTTGCGTATCATTGAAATTATAGTTAACAACACTCGTGATTTTATCATTATCTGGCGTTTTTGTAAAGCATCATTTATTTGATTGTTCTACTTAAATATATAGAAGATTTATGAATTCATTAGCATGAATATTGTATTTTTACTGATGAAAATTCTTTATTAAGTGAAAAAACTGAATATTAATTATATTCAATTAATACACAGATCTTCATTGTCAATTAAACCATTTAGAAGAAAAATAAAATAATAATCACAGTCGCACAATTTCGTCTGATACTGAAGCATCATTATTTAGTTCTTGTTTATCAAGAGCTGACCACCATTTAGCCAATAAACCATCACGTACAATTCTTGTGAACCATGGTGTTGTTACACCTTGTTCAACAAGATCTTCGCATTCATTTAGTGTAACCGCTTTTATTTGTTTAATTTCATTTTTATTTATTTTAAAATCAGTTAATAAGTCAAGTTGAGAATTTTGTTTATGTTTTGCAATAATAATATAATCAATTTCACTTTCACCAAATATTCCATCATCAGGAATATTTCTTGCTTGATAGAAAATTCGTGTTAAATAAATTAAATCTAAATCACATTCATAGCCAAGTTCATATTTAGTTCGACGTATAACAGCATGTTTAACACCATCAATACCATTCATTTCAACATTATTATATAATGGATGACTACAACATGTATTTGCCCATAATGATGGATATGTTATTTTTTCTGATGAACGTTGTTGTAATATAAGACGTGATGGAAATGTTGTAGTATCAAATAAAAAAAATGAAAATGCCCGATGAACTAATGATTGTTCACCTTCAATATTTGATAAAAGATGTGCATCTTTTTTTGTTGTTTCACCAATTATATGATCATGTTGATCAACAACCATTAATGGTTCATAAAGTAATGATACTTGTTGAGCATCATATTTATCTAGAAAATTTAAATTTCGATGATTCATTGACATTGATAAATTACGACAAGATGATGCTACTATCTTAACTGGACGTTGTATAAATGATTTAATCATGTTTTATCTAAAACGAAAAATAATATTTAAGTTTAATAAATCATAGAATTACTCGAAATATTCCTATGTCTTATGTCAAAACTTATTTCTATCAATTTTGATAGAATTTGAAAACTAATGAAAGTTAATAAATGAAAAGATATGATTTAAGCTGTTTTTTTTTAATTGTTTTGTGTTTAATTGTAAACAAAACAAAAACAAACAAATAGAAAAACATTGTTATTTATAACAAATAACATTAGTCAAACCATTTTTTCTTTGTCTTTTGCGGTAGTTGTGATTTATTTCTTGAATTTGAAATCATTCGATCAATATTGTCTCGTATTTCACCTTTAGATTTTGTTTTTGATCGTTTTTTCTTATTCCTTTTCTTTTCAATATTTGAATTATTCATTGAATTTATTTTATCATTAATTTCGATGGAATTATCATTGTCATTTTGAGAATTATTTAATTCATCATTTATTTGTTGTTGTTGTTTAATAATTTCACTAAGACGAATTTTATTATTTTGTTGTTCGAGTAAATCTATTCGTTGTTTCTTTTGTTTCTTATTATTATTATTACTTTCAAATGATAATGTTTTATCTGTTGGATTTTTTAATAATTCTTGTTTAGCATGTAATCGTTCACGTCGTTCTTCTTTTAATTGTAAAGCACGACGATTTTCAATTGAAAATTGAACAATTGGTCGTCGATTTGAACCAAATATATTTTTATCATTATTAAGTAATTCAATAATTCGTAATGCTATTTCATGACGAGATAAATTAATAAAACCATAACCTATGAAAAAAAAAAAGAATATAATAAAAGCATTGTGAACAGTACTTAACTCTATTGTCTCGTTTTATTACTTATTATGATCTTTTAGTAAAAACGCCCAAGTTATTTAGTTAGAGAATGACAATGTAAAGAAAGAAGAATTTTAAGATGGTATATATGCGTGCAAAATTTATGTGCCGACAAGATCACGCCATGTATATAACGATAGTATATTTCTAAAAGCATCGGTCACACCATATTAAAAGAAAAAGATCATCGAAAGAAGATCGTACCATATTGAGATAAAGTCATATGTTATCAAAACGAAGGACAAAATAATAACTAAGTCAACAGGGATTACGTCAATAATGTGAGTACATACAGACCTCAATAGTATCTTTGTTAATATGTATTTTATAACGTGTTCGTCAATATATTACATCTATCCAAAAAGATTGTAACAAAACTAATAATTCTTTCTCGAATTAATTTTGACAGAGTTCACGCGAACTTCGACGAGTTTCATGAGATTGTTATCAGTAGTACACAAGATTAGATGAAATCTCTCATCTTCTAGATATGCTCTAATGAAGACTACTAGATTTTGTGGATAATATTCAACGAAATCGATCATTCAGATGTGCATGTAACGTAGAATATGAAAAAATCTTGACAAAAAATATTTGCTTATTTTTCGGTCACTAAAGGACTATTGATTACAGTCGGGAGTAGTAAACTAGCATCAGATATTCGTTTCGAGGTGAGATTAAACAATTATCAGTAAATTTTGCAAAAAAGTCCGAAACTCTATTTGTATGAAGATAGCGAAATTTGATCTATGCTTTTCTACTGAAAAGCGAGTTTCTATGGATATCGGCATTCATAGCTTATGATTAGAAGGGGAAAGCAGGGTGATTTCCTCCTCCTAAATTTTTTCTTACATTCTACCTTTCTCCCAGGAAATTTTCTGTTATGAAGAGCTAACGATTTTTAATCTTTTGATGAACCAGATTGGCTATGCATAAGCGCATTTCTGTTTCCAATTTTTTTAAGAGAACAAGCTATTTTCTTTCAAAGAGAAAAAAAACTAGGCTACCACTCGAGCAAAGCTCGAATAGACAAGACGGATGACTATACGAGCCTGAAAAATGCCAAAGCACGACTGTATACGATATCTGCTATTTCAAAATCTTAGACTCGGATAGAGGAAATCATTATGAGTTTCAGTCTCTTTCTGATATCTTGACTCAACTGACAAGTGAATCTGAATTTGC